GCAAGAGAGGCTCTTTCTTCAGCTTAGCATCAAGAACATAAGAGATTGTAACATAGAGTTTTGGCCATTTCATTGTACTATATACATTGTAAAAACTACACAGTCATAAATTAACAAAGTGATTAAATAAGTTCATATAAAATGTAATTAAATTAAAACAAATCACAGTACATTATAGAGAAAAATAGGAACCAGTTTCACAAAAAAGATTATATATATATATATATAATTTTTTTTTTACCCTGTGGAAACAAATTTTCTACAAAACACAAACTTCCATAAGTAATGATCAAAATGAAAATCATTTCTTATTCCATTCTTGCATTTTTATACAACCCTTAACTTTTAACCCACTTGGGGAACATTCCCAAAAATTAACTCTTCCTTGAGCAACTGAGCAGTTCAGCCAAGAAAACAAACCCCAAACCAAAGGGGGATGGGGGAAGGGAACACCCAAACACACAGCTACAAAATAAATAAGAATTATAAAGGTTTTTTTTTTTCTTTAAAGTAACCTTAACAATTAACAAACTAGTAAGTTCTGCCTTATCACATAGACTCTCTATACAACATAACCCTAAAGCTTTATTACTATGAGGTATTTGGAGGAATTGGTAAAAGTGACACACGGCCTGCCTGGGGAAGGGACTCCGTGAAGGAGTGGGGGGAGGGCCTCAGGGAAGAGGAGGAGGAGGAGGAGCTTTGGTTTATCAGCAAGAATTGGGGGTGGGGGAAGTCATCCTTTGGTATCAAAGAAAGTTTCATTGCATGGTTGCACAGAAAAAGCACCACGGTGAATAATTATTCCTTTTTTTTTTTTATTTTTCATTAGTGGCCTTTCTAAGAGGCTGAGGTATTCAAAGAGTCTAAGGTGAGAGAGGTTAACAGCGGTTTAACACTTTGGTTCAAGCAAGGCACTCGTCCTAGGAGTTTACAAACTTTGCAACGTGTTTGCCTAGAGATTTACAAGAAGAAGTAGCAGTAATAAGAGTAGGCGTTCCTAATGTTGTTGTTATCGGTATTGTATTGTTATTAAGAATGAAGACAACTTTACACACTGAGTGAAGAGGGAGAAGGTGGGGAAGGGAAGGGGCGGAGTTCCCTCTGCAGACCATGGCCGTGCATGAAAATATCTTTGGTATTCTTTGGTATATCAATGTGATTAAAATCACCAATGGAAATTGAGTGAGGTAGCGTCTTTGGTTCACACTATAAATAGTAGATCTTTACACTTTTTTTTTCTTTTTTTTCTCTTTTTTCCTCTTTTTTTTCCCTTTTTTTTCTATTTTTTTTTTTTTTAAACACATGGAAGTAGCTATTTCTTACCTTCTGCTTCTTTGTCCACACTATTTGGGAAGTAGTTACCAAATGCATTGTAGAGCAAACCCACACCATAGTTATAATCCAGAAGGCCAAGTGCATCCCCCAAATAGCCTCTGGTATTTGAATGCACCCTAAACAACTAGATAGAAAAGGGAGAAGTGCTTTCTCTTTGTTTGCTAAATGCATAGTTTCATCCTGTATGTACAAAGGAGGGAGGGCGGACCATAGGGAAAATGTCCTTAGACTCTTTGGTATAGCAAAGTTGCATTTAATCTGCAAAGACCTGGGGTAGCAATGGGAGTGGGGGGGGGGCAAATGTAGCAAGCACTTTTATGTTGTTCTGGGGAAATAATTTAGTTTTTCTGGGGGACTGAGGGGCACGATGAGTGGCAAGTTCTGACAGAACTTGTGACTCTCCCCATACATTTTCTTTGGTCTTTGGAATCAAATCCCAAGGCTCTCAGAGACAGGAGTACTCAGTCCTGGGTATCCAGAATTCCTCTATCTGGACAGTTACTGGGATCTAAGTTTTACAGTCTCCAAACTCCAAACATTCCTGCTGGCTTTCAGCAGAAGCTTCCTGTTGTTGGAGGACCTGAATGACTTATGACCAAAACCACTGTGAGAGAGAGGGAGGGGGAGAGAGAGAGAGAGAAAGAAGAGAGAGAGAGAGAGAGAGAGAGAGAGAGAGAGAGAGAGAGAGAAGGAAGGAAGGAAGGAAGAGAAAGAAAGAAGTATTTGAAGTCTGATAAGCTCTTGTGGTGAGCAGTGGGAAAGCACTGAGAAATGACAAATGATATGATCTGCTGTGTAAAGCATGCTAACAGTTAGTGCTACATGAATCAGAATGAAAATATGGTCTCTGGATGCCGGTTCCAAAGCAAAGAAAGCTCTGTTCCTACAGGGTGTGAGAAGGTATTGCTTATGAAAGCTGAGTGTATCTGCTATGGTTTCTAAAAAGCGAAAGTTTGGAGTATGCTCAGTCAAGTAAGAAAATTGCTTTTCAGGCTCTGACTTGTGCCTATGTTTATGAGAAAATATGTCTCTAGGCCCTGAAATTGTGTAATTGGTGCAAATTTAATGCTGGTATGAAATCATCTTTGGTGTCAGCAAGTAGGGTAACTGGCTATTTCTCAGATAACCATCATGGTGGGATTTTTAAAATGTAGTCATATATATATATATATTTGAAGACTGTGCCTCCACAGTACCAAAATGATCGGCTTGAAAAAAATGCAAAATTCAGTTGGGTTAATCATGAAAGTAATGTGGTAAAAGCAAAGCCAAGACACAAGGTTGACTGAATCTTTTTTCTTGGAGTATTGAAAGTTGGTAAAACTGTGTGTAGACACAGTTAGGTTTCCCCTGAATTTTTAATTCCCTTGTTTTAAGTAATAAGGCTATCTCCCCTCTTAAACTATAAATGCACCTGTACTCCTCAACCCCCTCCACTATGAAGAGAGAAAATAATGTTTCTATTTTTAGCTTTTGTTTACAATACTGAAAACTTCAGCAAATCTCCAAGGATGATGATTTACTGATTCTTCATGATTGAACTAGAATTGTGCCATATTTAGAGAAAAAAATTAAGTTGGAATTTTAGGTGTACTTTAAAAAATACTACAACAAAACATATCAAGGCGTATGCTGGCTTCCTTTGCTTAGTTGCCAGTGAACACAAAGGATACAGGAGAGGGATGGTTGGCTTAGGTGCCTCTCTCTGGGTGCCACCGACATTTGATCCCCAGGAGTGAGATTTTGTGTTATAAAATTTTAATTTTTTTTTGGTCTGGCATTTTAGTGAATCTCAATTAACAGCTTTCTATAGGATAGCATTCGGTGTTATATTTCTAGTTAGGTGTGAAATTAACTGAGGGTACCCCATTCTTGACTTCCCTGTGGAGCTGGTGTCTATTCATATCAGCCATAGTTCAGCCGAGTTTAGAGTGTTCTGGATGTCAAATGATTTCTACAACTTTGTTTTTGCTTCCTGCCTTTGTCTGTGCAGCCCCAGTTAAATGATTTGGAAAAAGTCAAAACTTCGATTAGGAAGCTTGGGTTTAATTTTCAGTCTGTTCCTGTCAAAGAGTAGAATCCATGAGATAAAATTTCCAGGTTCGTTAATAGCAAGAAGGAATGTAATGCTTCGGAGACTGCTTAGTAAAATTGGTCTTTTAATTCTGAAAGAACTGGAAGTCTTGTGTGAAACTGGAGCTCTGGCTTTTTCTATGCAGTTCTCCATTCTACCGTCTCTCAGTGGCACTTGCTGTTTTCCTAATGTTTACCTGATAGGGCATCCGAAATTAGCAATAAAATCAATTCAATTGCTTTTTAGGATGGTTGCAAAATATGGGATAACTAATTGTTATTAATATTGGTCTGCTTGCTTCATTAGTGTTTGGGAAAAATTAAAAAAAAATTTGGTGCCAAATGCATAAAGTAAATTTAAGCAAAATTAGTCTAAGTTTTTTTTGGGGGGGGTGCATTTACTAAAAATGACCATTTTGGACATTTTTTCTAATTTCTTTTATCTGTCCTGTTAAGCTTAGTTTCCTAGTGTTTATGAGGGGACCAACTCCGAAAGATACTTCACATCTTCTTGGCTATGAGTAGATTAGGCATTATGTCTTTTCTCTATGTAAGTGACATTTATGGATCCCGTGTGCACCTCGTCAACCTCTCTGCCATGGTGGTCACTGCTTCCCTGAAGCTACATTCTTCCTTGCCAGTTCTGAAAACTCCTATTTCAAATGCTTCAAGAGTCATAAATAATAGTCCTGAATCTACATGGCATGTGGGTTACAGCTAGCTCAGTTCATACGTATAACTTTACATAGTATCTTGTGTAAAAATAGCTTTGGTTATTAAAATCATTGCAATAAAATACCTGCACTATAATATTGTGTGTTCTTTGGTACCTGGGTGATTTTTTTTTAAATGGATGGACTCTTGTTTCATTTTTTTTTTAAAAAATATCTGAACATTTCTTAACAAACAAAGAGAGTGCACTGGTTTAGGCGCCATTCAAATTTTCTTTGCTGGGTTTGAATCTGCATTTAGGTTGTGGGCCTGGCAGGTTCAAACGCTAGGCTAGATGAGAGAAATCACACCTTAAATCCAATGAATTTAGAAAATCCCACACTGTGTTGGTCACACTCCTACGGTGCAACCCTTCCTGAAGACCAGCCCTGCTTGAGTCCCAAACCACTGGTGGTGGTGGTGGTGGTGTGTGTGTGTGTGTGTGTGGGGGGGTGTACAGGCACACCCACCCACACATGATGTTGAGACACTATACATACACCTTTGTGGTGTGGTGGAAGAGATGAGAATGTCTGATCTTAAGAGAGGACTGCTCGACGGCTCAGACATGACTGTGCTTCGAGCCACCGAGCAGCTGAGCACAGTGAGGCGTAGGGGTTGAAGGTGTGAGATTCGATGTTTTCCCGATCATTTTTCTTGCCAAGTCTTGCCCTGCTGAAGTATGCATCTCGGAACAAAGTCAGAATGCAGGTGAGCTTCAGTCTTTGGTTTCTTTGGACTATAAATACCACTTTTATTTCTTCAAATATTTCTAAGTATAAACCTGCTATCTTGAGGTCCTGGTCTTTAAAAACTTTTTTTTTTAATTAAATTTAAAGCTTTTCCACCGAGGTTCTAGTCTGTGGTTCTTCCTTCCTTCATGCTTTGGTACAAGTGCTTGATGAAGATGATGAATTGCCTGAATTGGAGCTGCCCTCATCCTGCCACTTGTCCAGACTCCTCCTTCTCGCATTCATGAAGAAGTTGCTGACAGTGCTCAGCTCCAACCCCAGCTGCTGGGAAATGGTGATTTGTAATTCTTTGGACGGACGCTTATTTTCCTTGAATATTGCATGTAGAGTTCGACGTTGGACGTCTGTGAAGACCAGCCTGGGCTTTTTGGGGGTGTTGCCTCTGTCCTTCCCGTGTTCTTGTTCTTTCCTTTTGCAAGCTGCAAAGACACATGGAAAATGTTTAGAACAAATTCCCTGTGTGGGATTGGTCAGCCGTTCCTCATAGCCTACATTTTGTCTGATGACCCCTGACTAAAGCAGCAAGGGTGACTGGGAAGGAGTGTAATAAAAGTACAGAAAGCTGAGGGTAAGGTGGAATTTTGTACACCATGGGTGGGTCCTAGCATCGTCCAGTTACTGCACTCTGTCTTAGGGTAGGTCAGGTAGCTCCATCAGGCCTAAATGAACTGATAGGTTTGGGTTTTCTACTAAAAGGACATTTAATTCTTTAAAAATTCTGTGTCTCTGTGTATGGGTATTACAAATGAATGTAGATGCCAATGGAGGCCAGAAGAGGGCATCTGATCCCCCAGAGCTGGAGTTACAGGCAGTTGTGAACCACTTGACAGGTTCTGGGAACCAAACTTAGGTCCTATGGGAGACCAGCAAATGCTCTCAACCACTGAATCATTTCTCCAGCTCCTAATTTATTTATTTATATAATGCTCTGTCTCCGTGTATGCCAGAAGAGGGCACCAGAACTCATTGCAGATGGTTTTGAGCCACCATGTGGTTGCTGGGAATTGAACAAAGGACCTCTGGAAGAGCAGCCAGTTCTCTCTCTCTCTCTCTCTCTTTTTTTTTTTTTTTTTTTTTTTTTTTTTGGTTTTTCAAGACAGGGTTTCCTCGTGACTTTGGAACCTATCCTGGAACTAGCACTTGTAGACCAGGCTGGTATCGAACTCATAGAGATCTGCCTGCCTCTGCCTCCTGAGTGCTGGGATTAAAGGTGTGCACCACCACCGCCCGGCTCAGCCAGTGCTCTTAACTGCTGAGCCTTTTCTCCAGACCCAGTTTTTTTTTTTTTTAATTTTTAAAATTATATTTATTTATTTACTTGTGTGTGTGTGTGGCCTGTGTGTGTAACTCCACCACAGTCTGCTAACTTCACACTTCCCCCACAGTAGGTATTCTTTCTGTATGGCACTCCCCATCTCCTCCCAGCATGCAACAGAGTCTCTCTCCCTGAAACCCTGAGCAGAGACAGAAGCCAGGTGACAAACTCTGTCGGGAAGACCCAAAGTTACATGGTGGCAACTGAGGAGTGGGACACACTTCTCAGGAGGAGGAATCCAGAGGACTGACAACCTGGAGTGTGTGTATGTGTGTGATGGGGGAGTGGTGGGCTAGTTAGAAAAAGTTTAGGATATTTCCAGGTTTCTGGTTAGATGGTGGCACACAGAAAAAGGAGTTTTATGAGGGTGTAATTACTTGTATATAGGACAAAGTGCATTGGAAGTGCTGGCTGGGCATTCTGCTAAAGATCTCCGATATGTAGTTGTCCAGAAGACAGCAGGATGTATGGAGCCTGGAGCTCAGGGGAGAGGTCTGAGCTAGAAATACAGCCTTGGAAGTCATTAGGGCTCTGGATGATAAATTATACAACGAATACTTATGGAAAAGTAAATAACAGTATTGGGCGAAGTCTCAACTTATCTATCATTCAAAAAGCAGAGCTAAGGAAGATCTCTGCAAAGAGATGTCCATTTTTCCAGCTAATCAGGAAGTACATTTGAAGGACTTTAAGAGGTCCTGGGCACTTGGCAAGATTCTGAGGACTGAAGCTACCCACAGCCAGTGTTTTCCAAGTGGCATCAGGGCAGCAGGAACCTTTTCCACAGAGGTGCTTTGAAAGGGCTTACAGGACAAGGGTAGCTAGAGAAACCTTTCCTAGACAGCCTCTTCCTCAAGATTCACACTGTATGTTAGCATACCTGACTATCAAATCCATTCAAGCCCAAACCCTTTGTGGTAGAGTATGTCTATTCTTAAATCATAAGCTACTCATATCAGGGAAATATAGGCTAGTATAATTTGCCTTAAGGTTTCAAGTGCTGTAGATACTGCAGGGTCAGAAACTGGGAGTTGAAACTGTTGGAACAGGGACCTGGCTAGCCTCTTCCTTTTTACCCCTGTAGGGCATCCTGAAAAATGCAGGCTGGAAGGGGAGCTCAGAGCCTGTGGGGCTATGAGAGATGGTACCTGTAAGTGCATGTGGTTATATCTGGAGAGAATACTGCAAAAGCCAGAACTGTCAAATATGAAGACTGTGGTATCAACAGAAAAGAGAAGCTCATTTGGGATCATGAGGTTACCATAGGAGAAGAGGGACAACCTGCAGAAACAAAGCCATACTTCTGGAAGCTTACATAGAATTATAACTATTAGAGTCCTTGAGACACATATGAATGAGAGAAATGCTTTGGGATGTCTATAGGAGACATTGTAGCATAGAGACTACCCAGGCCAAGATAGGAAAGCGGAGGTCTGAATCTCTACACGTGTATTTGGGGGTTGGGGAGAGACCCATGAACAAGGAACAAGGGGACAGGGGCCATTGCAGTATAGGGAAGTACTCACACATGAAGACACGCACAAGATATGTACCGGTGGTGGGAGGGAAGCAGAACTGGGTTTGGGGGTTACTTGTAGATACATGAGGGCCCACTACAAGTCCCTTTTAGGAAGGAGGCAAGCCAAAATGCTTTCAGGATTCTGTAACAAATTATAGGGAGAGATGCCTCAGTCCTATGGCTAGCTTTGATCTGAAGGGTGGTCACTCATGTGAGTACTGTGCAGGAGGCAGAAGTAGGCATGGATTATGCATGTTGGAGAGAAAGGAAGAAAGAGAAAAAGAGTCAGGTGCAGGTAGCAAGCATCTGCAATTACAGCACCTGGGGAATGGAGGCAGGAGGATTGGGAGCTCAAGGCAGGGAAAGGCCAGAGGCACAATGTCTGGGGTCTTGCTTTGCCTACAATATGCAAAGCAGAGCCAAATGCGTTTTGAAAACATAGCAGGGTGTACACCTTTAATCCTAGCACTCGGGAGGCAGAGGCAGGGGGGATCTCTGTGAGTTTGAGACCAGCCTGGTCTACAAGAGCTAATTCCAGAACAGCCTCCAAAGCCATGGAGAAACCCTGTCTTGAATCCCCTCCCCCAAAACAAACAAACAAACAAAAAACCAAGAGTCTTTCCAGTGTTAAAAAAAAGATTCTGTGAACAGAGCTATGAATTCAGGTCAGTTTCAAAATGCTAATTGATCAAGTGCAGTTATTTAATTTGGACACCACCACCTCCCCAATCCTGTAATGTGGGAATGTGCCCCAGCTCACAGTACCAGGAAGCACTCTCTGCAGAGAATTTTAGGACTTGTTTCCCTTGGAGGAGTGTTTCTCAACATGTGATTTGCTGCCCTCAAGCTGGTCTGTGAGTTGTCACTGATCTATAACACGTTAACAGCAGGAAACTGAGAGTGACCAGGAAGAATTTTCTATAGATGTTTGACACTGCTGGAGTATTCAAGCATGGCTGTATTCCTATCAGTAAATATTTCCCATATTATATTCTAGAACCGCAGGTACAAGGCATATGCAGGTAAAAAATAAACCAACCAACAAACAAATAGTGCTCTACTACCTAGATTTCAAAACCCCCTTTTCCCTGGAATACACTTTATAAGCATGGTGTGTGGTGACACTCTAGAACCAGCTCTGAGTCAGTGTCTGAACACAACCTTGTCCATTTTCTTCCCTTAATGACCCAAAGCCCTATCCAGCATCGAAAATGTTGACTGATGGGGCTGGAGAGATGGCTCAGGGTTAAGAGCTCTTACTTCTTTTACAAGGGCTGGGAGTTTGGCTCTCAGAACTCATGTCAGGGTGAGGGTTGCCTCTAACTCCGTCTCCAGGTCATCTCTTTTGGCCTCTGCAGGCACGTACTCAAGCGTGTATAACCACGAAAGACACATATACATCACATAAATTAAAAATAAAGTAAGTCTGAAGTGTTGGCTGAGTTGGGCAAAAGTCTACCAGGAATCTGTCTGGGAATATTGACCTGAGGGACAGATGGACTTGGAATACTTGGTAGATAAACCTGGACTCAGAAGATACAGTGGATAGTCCTGGGGCCACTAAAGATATGTAATTTTGTGCAAGTCCCTTACTGGTATTTTTTTTAACTTAATGTTCCCAGTTACAGTGGGTTTCTTACTTCCTGGGATGGCAATAAGTTTTAAGTAAGAACACATGCATAGATGTGATTAAAATCTCAAGCTCTTAAATAGTGCAGGAGTTTGCAAATTAGGGACTGGGAATGTAGCTCAGTGGCAAACACAAGGGCCGTCACTGTAAAATTTTTTGCCTATGAATTTACTAAGCTTTTCTTCCTCCTTTAGTCAGTATGAAAGTCAGACACTGGCCTCAAGTCTTTGCTGACTCGAACTTGTGATATGAAGTTGACAGACCCTGGGGACCTCTTTAACTGAGCAGAGAGCATTGCAAGGCCTCTGAGGACCCTGAAACTCCCGCTCAGAGCTGAAGCTCCTCTTCTGGTCTCCAAAGTCTATTATGATCTTAATTAAATAATGTCCAAGGTAATCCTTCTCTCTGTCAGGGTGTATAGCTACTCCATTGACTTCCATTGTACCATCTCTGACCTGTATGGATTTTTTAGTCTCTATTCTTATTGTTTGCTTGTTTGTTTGGGACAGGATTTAATCTCTCAGGCTGACCTGGAACTCACTTCGTAACTGAGAATGAGGATCAGAGGGTCTCCTGTTTCTACCTCTCAAGTTCGGGGTTTACAGGCACACCCACCATCACATTCCATTTATGTGATTCTGGGGATTGAACCTAGCTTCATGCATGTTAGACAAGCACTCTACCAACTAACTACATGCCCAGACTCCTTTGTGGTTTTTGAAAAAGGGCAAATAAGCCATGAGTCCTGTGGTACACACCTATAGTCTCTCCGAGGCCATACTGAGCTACGAAGGGAGATCCTGTCCCCTCCAAAGAACAAATAATGATAGCAACAACAAAATAAACCAATGATGGCTCTGCAATCAACCTGTCCAGATTCAATCTTATCCAGATGAAGGTGGTAAAACAAACTCTTGCTCCTCATGAATCACGAATATAAGAGCTTAAAGCAATG